AACCAAAACCCTGTAACATTCCCAAGAAGTTAACTTTTATTACAGAAACCTTGCTCTCGTAGATCTGACAAAACCCTTCTAGGAAAGCAGTACTAAGTGAAACTAAGAAACTAGAACTTTGGAGGATTAAAACAGGAAGATACGACAATACCCCGTAGCTCAAAGATAATAGGGAGTTAAAGATACGGCGACTACGGACTACGACTACGGTTAAACATGCTACTGCGCATAATCAAAACCATTTGACTGTTCATTTTTCTCGCGTAGTCCTGCGGCTACGGTGAGTTGTTGAGCTGTTTCGCATAGTCGGGACTACGGAGAACGTTTTGCTCGTATTTTGCCGTCTCGGCAATTCAAGAATCCCGTCTTTTCGTAAAAAAGTTTTCAATTTACCTGCTTTAAGTGAGAGGGAAGCTTAGCTGTTTATACGAAGAATTCAGATTGACGGCCGAGAATAAGAGAAATCATGCAGGTAATTTACTTTCTCTTGGCACTTGCAAAGTTTCAATGATTGTTCGAACTGATTAGTGTCACTGTAGTGTGTCTTTCTACTTGTGTAACCTTTGTTTATGCGAGTTTTTGTATCGCATTTGCTGAATGAAAATGATGTAAACATCTTCGAGACAATGGAAACTCGGCATTTCAATACAGCTTCAAACTACATCAGATCAGTAGTCGGAGAAGTCCATCTTCTAAATCTAATAAATGAGCTATTACTATTTCTGTCTATTTCTTTAATATTTGACATACGTATTTATGGGCGAAAAAAATAAAACCTGTTTAACGAAAACTTTGTTTACCGATTTCACCCGACGTAATTGCTTTCTTCACCTATGGACGAATTTGTTCATTGTTCTAAAGATAAGATCACATGCAAAACTGACTTGCATTTTTGTGAACTGTGATGAAACAAGAAAATCTTTGCGTGTTGTTTCCCTCTCCGCCTCCTCTCTCGTAGTCTACTGTCTGTAGTGCAATTTTAACGTTCTACGACTCAACCCAGTGCTTCAAACAAAGGACAATGCTAGCTAATGCTCGTCCAGCCGTAGTTCGTAGTCCGTAGTCTCCGTATCTTAAACTCCCTAATGAATGAATTAAGGTAAGGCTAGAAATGTATAACCAAGCAGCCAGTGAGTTTTCTAACCGAGGAGGGAGGTCTGAAAACATTTTTGTTAATTGTGTGAAAACAACTACATTCCCTAGTTAATTTTTCAAGTGCGTTTTAGGCAATGCTAGAAAGTTAAAGCCTTTGAAAACGGGCATTTTATCTCATGCTTTAAAAAAATATGGGCAATAATAAATTATGGACATTTTCTGCAGCATTTCGGCATTAATTTTCCGGCCAAAACACTGAAGAGACGGATCAGTGTCTCCATTTCCAGTCCACGGAAGGGTCTCTCCATGAACGAGGTTGGGCACAGGTTGGGTTTTGGAGGATTGCGTGACTTTTTTCTTTGCTTAGCTTCACTTCGTTGATTTGCTTATTCGATCACAATCCAAAATGGTACTCGCCACGATTTACAGTTTCCTAAGCCTTGGAAACTTTCTTCTTTTGCTGCTTCTTTTGGCCATTTTGCATTATTTGATGATCCTTTACGAGTTCAGAAACATGCCACCAGGTCCTCGCCTCACATCTCTTCCCGTGTTAGGAAACGTCCTTTCTCTTGACTTCAAGGCGAAGGATCTCAACGAAGCTTTTCAAAGGTCAGTAAAATATATGTGACGTCCACTCAACCCACTTAACACTTTCCGTCGATTGTTCACTCTATAGGACCGACTTCTTTGAACAGTGCCTGAATTTGCAAGCCCTTATTACTGAAATTAATCGCTCACATTCCCTCGTTACTTGGCGTACACGTTAGCCTATTTTCGTATCATAAGCTCTGTGAAATGTGTAATGTGTAATGCGTACCCATTAAATAGGGAAAGAGAAATCTATGAACGTTATAAATCTCATTATTCCCTGATAACAAATTGATTTGTTTCGGTCGATGGATCGGTTTCTTTTTGTACATAATAGCCATCATTAAGACATGTGCCGAACCTAATACCTGCTAAAGTGGACTCAAACTCGATGAAATTCGACTGTTGATTCAAACCGTCAAACTTAAGGTGATTTAACGTGCCGTGAGTGGCGTACTAGGGAACTCAAAAAATAAAGTGCTTTCAACGCAAATAGTGTAGAGTTCGAAAATTCATGTTTTGATGTGTGTTCTGTTGAGAAGGAGGTCGAGATCGTGATCATATTGAGATTTAGACAACTTACAGTAAAACCATAAATTATCAAATAGTCGAATATTTCTTCTTAGTTACAGTCTAAAAGTAGTGTTTAGGAAGACATTTTTAAGCTATCCAGTTTCTAGAAATCTACTTCGAAAACACTGTCAATGTCGTAATGCTTCTGTGATTTCTGTTTGCACATTTCCGAATAAACAACAACATTATTTATGCCAGTTATGCTCGGCACATTAACATTTCGACGTTATTCAAGTCGATCTCTTGCGCCTTTCTGTTCATGAAGCTCAGAATTAGAAGGCCGGCATACGAAAGGTCGGTCGACCCCAATGATGTATCGAAAAGTCTAAATGGACTTGTTTTGCTTATCGCTCTCTGCTCTCCTTAGCGAATTCTTACAGCAGCTATTTAAGTTTTTGATTCATTAATTACATACGGTCTGGGCTAAACCTTATATTAAGATGCCGAAAGCGTTATGTCTTGGTGCCGACAGACATGATACTAAAGACGAAACTCTTGGAATTCCATTGTTAACAAAAATACATCGAGGTTGCCACTACGTGTCTCTCCCTCAAACAAAAAATAAAATACTTGGAAAAAATAGAAAATTTATTGAGCCAGCGGGTAACGCGTGTCCCTAATCTCTTTACGTGAGCATAGCTTGTAAAGTCTTTTGGAATCTCGCAGCTCATATACAGAATGTATGTTGCTTTGAGGTTGTCCATGCTAGACTCAGTCTAATACAAAACAGGGGCACCAAACGAGGATATAGTTCAAAACCACTTAACATAACATTGTTGAACGTATTTTAGTATTCAAACGGTAGATATAGGCATATTTTTATCCCCTAAAAATTTTTCATCTGTTCGGATTTCCTAGCTGAAAGTCTATTGATCCGAAAATTATAGGGATAAAAACTTACCTTCTCGAAAATTTCAGCCAGGAAAAGGCTCCCGAAAATTCTAGGTGGCCTTTTTTAGGGTCAAAATCCCTTAAAAATGGGTAATTATACCATTTTGTGGATGTTCGAGAATCCTAGGAGCGGCAGGCAAGCAAGAAATTTTACAACAAATGCTCCGAAAATTCTAGATCTCAAATCGTCTTCCGAACAGATATTTTCCCGAAAATTGCCGTTGGGTGCCCCTGACAAAAAAAAGGTTACATGGTTAAATGACAGCAACAAAAAACAAACAAACAAATACAAAATATATTTGCCAAAGGGGACTTGGGTAATAAAAGCATTACGTCTTACTTAACTTAGAACCTCAAAGAAAAGGATAAAAATACAATACAATACAATACAATATTCAGTTTATTTACCCACACTGCATCTAGCAGTGATAAAAACTTCTTAAAACAAGTGCGTGAAAGAAAAAACGAGAAAAAAAAACAACAACAACAACAGTGATTTAAAATTACTATTCCTAAATAATCTATCTCTATAAAAACAAGTAACAATAATAATTTTAATGCGTACAATCTAAAATTAGTCTATGTACAAACAGTATTAAAATTAAAAACTAATTACCACTAGAATTAAAAACCAGGCTTATTTAGAAAACGTTTAAAGGTAAAGGTTGGCGTTTTTAATATACACGTACGTAAGTAGAAAATACCAAAGTTTTGCTGCCAAAAATAAGAATAATTTGTGGCACCATTATAGACAAAAATTGGGTAGCGTTACAATGAAAAACTCTGAGGCTCCTTTGCAAGTGCGACCTACAATCGGCGCCAAAATGAGTTGAGACTCTTCGACCTAACTGTTTTTTTTTACGTTTTACCGACTTCAAAAGGAGGATATGTAGCTTTTCCTCCCCCATCCCCTCCATGCAATGTTGTGTTACCTATAGGAAACAACAACTGAGGGGACAGAGGAGGGGTGCGGGTTCTTTTGTTGTCTGAAGTTACTCAAGTTGAGTACAATTTCTCAACAATTTTGTCGCCGATTGTAGCTTACTTAAATTCGAATCTAAATCTTTTATTACTTAAAACTTGCCAGGTTCCTCATTTGATTTTCTTCAACGTATTAATTTATGAAGCCCTTTCTTTGAAAAGGGAGTATACATGTATATTGTAGAATAACAAGGACATTCCTATTGCTGAAAGGCTAGCGTTTTCGGACAAAATTTTAAACAATTTTATTAGCAAAGAACAAACAATAACAACCAAAAAAAAAGTAAAAGTAAGCACATCAGGTTGATTACTTAAGTACGTATTAGAGCAAGGAAATTTGATTGTTATATATTTTATTTTCAACATATTTTTCTGTATTTGTCCGTCTGGCAAAAAGAGTAATCTATCTTAAGAGCTATCTGCAAGAAAATTCCTTTTTTCGATGTCGCCTGCCTTTTTCTCTTCACTCTTTAGGCGCAGAAAATGCACAAAATTAGGTAATGTGTAATCCACATTGGCAGACAGTAGTTAAATTGAAGTGAACATTTCCGGCCTCAATCCGTGAGAGCAGTGATGTTTAAGGTTGTATTTGCCGATTATCGGGAATGGCTTTAAGTTAAGAAAAGAGCTCTTAAAAGGAGGCATAGTTAACTGTTGCATCAATAACCACTTTCCTTTTCTTCCAGTCTTAAAAAAAACTACGGTCGCATATTCTCGATTAAACTTGGAAGCTTCAAGATCGTTATGGCTTCAACCCCTGATGCTGTTAAGGAGGCGCTGGTAAAGAAATCCGCTGATTATGCTGGGAGACAACAAACATACTCTGCAATGGCAGGAACACTTGGTATGTTATTCACAGTAAGGTCAAGTCGTTTAAATGATGGGACGTGGATAGCAACTTCTATTATAACTATTCTCCGATTTAGCACTTATCGCACCCTTTTGAGGATCTTTTCAGAAGTCAACATCGAGAAATTAAATTGACGGTTTTCCAATAGTCGCTCTTGCTCGCGGTCTTCAAGAGTTTTCTTAGGACATATCGTAAATGTTTCCTGCAGCAATGGCATTCCAACACATTATCGACGTTCATTTTACTCACGGTAATTTTCTTCGTCTTTGCTAAGATACGCTCGATTATTTAAAGACAGTTCTCACAGGTTGTTATCGGAAAGGACGCGTGGACGACAGGTGCCATTTATGCGAAACGTTTGCGTCTTACATTAGACGGATGCTAATAAGACGGGAAACGGGTAACGAGCGTGGGGAACGGAAAAATGGGAACAAAAGCTTACTTGCGTCCTAGCCGTAACAGTAAAATCATATACGTCGTATCATCCTACGTACGACACGTCTTATTTTCTCTTGTGTAAAAAGCCACATTTTAGTCAGACGATAAAAAAGAAGAACATAGAGACACCTTTGATGCAATTATGGGGGAACGATCTCAATTACCTGGATCTTATATACCTTTTTAGCTTGTATATTTTGTTTTTCCAATTAAGATCACGTGATGCTCTCAAGGGAATTTGACTTTCGTCTTCTCTCAAATTATGCATACACATGCACGTGGATGCACGTCTTTATGACGACATTTGAAAGAAACAGTTTTACAGGGTAACAACACGTGGTTAGAAATGGCAAAAGCAAACTTACGGGTTAAAACAGTCCATTGACGTCAAAATGGACAAATGTTTTCACATAAACGTGCAGATTGTCTCGAATGTTCTAATCTAGACAATCCGGACGATTTTATGCCGGAAACCAGAAGGATAATCGAGGCGACCTAGACCATCCGGGAATTGAAACCTGGTATAATGCAGTTAATCGAAAGGCTTGTTTTGTATGAACGTATGTCTCGAGATTTTGTTTGATCAAAACTTTACTTAAAGGTTACGAGTCGTTGCTACACCAATTTAAGACCAAAGGAATCCTTTGTTCAATTTGCTATCGAAAATCTATCAAATTTTACCCTTTTCTGAATTTCAGGGGGTAAAGATATTGTTCTTGGTAGCCCTGGTCCTGGCTGGAAGCTCCATCGTAAGCTATTTACGACAGCTCTTCGCCAGTACCTCTCGGATATCCCTCTGATTGAAAGACGCGTTCGTACTCAAGCCGAAAAATTGGTTCTGTTCATGGAAGAAAAACAAGGACAACCCTTTGATCCTGCAGATTGCTTGATGCGTGCTGTAGCTGATGTCATTTGTGGCATCACCTTTGGAGAAGGTTATGACACAACCAATCCGGATTTGAACATGCTTTTGAAACTAAACATAGAATCGATAGCTAATGCTGCTGATACTCAGTTGGCCTTAGCTTTAGATTTCTTCCCAGTGGCACAGTACTTACCACTCAAGGTTTATGAACGCTTTCTCAGGCCCACTTTTGAAATTTTCGATATCATTCGCAAATTTCTGAGTGAACGCAAAAAGACTTTTGATCCAGAGCGACCAGTAAAAGATTTGATCACAGGTCTCCTTCATGCCAAACTTGAAGCTGAAGGTGAGAGCAATGAAGATAGATCCGCCCTCCTTACTGACGACTACTTCATCAACACGATTGAAGATATGTTCGCAGGAGGCTATGAAACTACAAGCACGACCATGAAATGGGTTCTAGCATTCTTAGTTAACTACCCAAAGTACCAAGAAGCCATTCACCGACAGTTAGATGAAGTAATTGGTGACCAGGCTCCTTCTTTAAACGACCGATCACGTCTGCCTCTCATCCAAGCGACCATCATTGAAACCCTGCGAGTTGGAAACGTGGTCCCTCTTGCAATTCCTCACGTTACAGTCACAGATACAACTCTCTGTGGATACAGAGTTCCTAAAAATACCATGGTCTTTGTTGATACAGAATCCGTTCACTTAGATCCCAAATGCTGGGACGATCCCACTGTGTTTAACCCTTACCGCCACATTGACGAAGACGGGAAGTTGATTACCAACCAAGGCAATTTTTTTCCTTTTGGAGCTGGACGCCGGGTTTGTGCTGGTGAACCTCTGGCGAAGGTTGAGCTGTTTTTGTTCCTGTCGTGGATGCTTCTGAAGTTTACTTTCGTTGCTGAAGAAGATGGTCGTCCCCCAAAGTTGAAGGGAATTTTTAATCTTACCCAGTTTCCTGTTCCATACAAGATACGGGCCATCAAGCGAAAGTGAGAAGACCTTTGGCCTCGCCTGGTAACTGTTTTGCAGGTACAATGTGTAATCCTTCAGTGTCAGTTAAACATTTGGAAGGATGTTAGGATGTTGAGAGTCTTTCAGATGGTTGTTGGAAAACGTCGCAATTGACTTGTAAATATATGGTTAATCTTTTAATGTTGCTAATATTAAGGTTGTGTTTTCTATTTGGTAAAATCAGTTACTTTTATTTTTTAGGGTAAAGATTGTGGGCCATTGTTCGTCTTTGTTAACGCTTTTTTGATAGAGGGAATTAGAATTTATTATATTCCGTATCTTGGCAAAAATTGTACATCTAACATTCTTCGAACTAAAGTTTATCTTGACTTCATAAGGTCATTTCTGTAATGTTAGGATGTGGTACTGGGCAAATCTTTATCCTGTTGAAAACTCGTGCAGTAAGGTTTTCGGTTCACACGGAACTACCTTAACCGAACGAGCATTTAGGCTCCTTGTCGTTCAACAAAACAAAATTAGCTAAAATTTAGCTTGCAAGATGGAAAATTTGAATAGTGCGGTCTAAACTCCTTGACTGTTTTTTGAACGGAAAGGTGTAGTTGCATGGATGCATGGCAATTTATTAGCTGAGAGATGGAATTTCGGATTTGCTGTAGTAGGGCATGGGCAAATGGTAAAGTCAGTTGAAAAAGTTAAAGTTCAACTTTGTTCGTCACTTCCGTGTCGACAAGATGTCCTGTGAAATAATCATCTGGTACCGTGGACGTATTCTGAAAGTATTATGATTATTGTTTTCACCCCGTATGTTTATTGAGTGATAGCAAATAAACAATATACCTATTCCTGACTCTTGTCTGTGTTGATGTGGCGTTCAGGGGTATCCAAAGACAAAATTGCTTATTTTCTGACTAAAACTGCACTGACGAAATACAAGAAAACGCAAAGGATATTGCTTGCATGATCTATTGTTATCTACTTAGTTTTGAACAATACTTGTATCTGCGAGTATATATCCTGAAACCGTGCCAAGAAGGAGGCCAAGTTTTACATAAAGTTTTTGAGGAGATAAGGTTGTTTTAAAACATTTTAGAAATATCCTGAATAAATAAGACAAATAACAAAACAATTTTCGAATTTGGCTTTTGTATGATGCGACGAATAATGCTGATTTCGGAGGCTGTTCAGCTTCGGTGGATGACATTCTCCTCGATCTACATAATTCTTCACCTCATTTCCGGCCTCTTTCAATATGCATGTAAAATAAATATCTCGAGCTAGCGAACTAATCAGATTGCTTAAAAGAGGAAGGGCACTGTGCACTTACTCAAACCGGGGAAATACGACTTCTGACGTTGGCCGCATCAATGTCAGTAACACAGCTCAGCGAGCTATCTAGCAGTCTGTATACTGGCTAACCAAAGAGCTTCAAAGGTGTGGAATAAATATAAATTGCTTAATTTCAATCACAATTGTAACGAACGTAAAAGCGATAACTTAGTCCGTTACTTAAAAAAAGAGAGCAACACAAATTATTGGATAATGAAATGGTCTAGAAATACCACCTTATAGTCACAGTCGTGGAGTTAATGCTTTTTGGATACTGCAAACGGTGGAATTCTCTCCAACGTTGCCTATTTTGCTATTTAACAGGCAATTATGACAGAAAGCACTTAATCACATATACTGAGAAAGTTCGGCAGTATGCGTTAAATCACCATCACTATGCCGTGGGATTATTCAGCTTCATCAGTAAGCCAACGTAAGATGAAAGGCAACCTATGCACACCTTACTCTTGCATCGTAATATAGAGAAATGATGTTTTTCTAAAAGCCTATATTTAACACAATCCAATTATCTATAACGACAGTCACTATGAATATTACAGTTGTAGTCGGTGTCTTACGCGCCTTGACACATAGCCGGCCGCCCATAAGACCATTGACCATGGCGTTGCCCCTGGTCATTTAGTTAATTACTATTTGTTCTTGTTTCGTCGATAACTAATCGCTCTTACATGAGGGCAAGTTTTCCCCTTTATAATGGTGGTTTTGCCAGAGGGAGATGTTATTGTTATAACTGGTAAGGACTCTTTGGCTTTTACAAGCCTTTTGGTCCTTTCGTCCTGTTTGTGTCGCTCAATTCTTTGATCCGACGATCTCTTCATGGCTCTATTAACAACCATTTTCTCACAATGTGGTCTGTTTTTACTACAGGTGCTTTCAAATGCAAGATTATTCTTTCGGGTTACAGCTTCACTGACTCGTTGGCTTAAGGGTTGTATATGGACTATGTTCAAAGAGGGCTTACCTCGAAGTTTATCAAAAAAGACCATTATGAAACGTCGATCGAGCTTTGTGAAAATAAATACATTAGCTGCACATTTGAGATATGTTAATGAGCGACATAAGGCAATGGAGTTCAGGGAATGTGTTTCAGCATTGTTGTGGATTATTGAAGCAATGGTATAGGGTACATACGAAAAAGAAACTACCAAGATAACTTGAATTATCCTCCAAGACAGATTTCTTTCCCTCGTCTTCCATCGATTCCTACGTTGTTGTGAAAATGTATCACCTGTAATCTCAGAATGTTCCCTAAGCAGTTTCTTGATTTGCACGAAGTAATAAATGTTTGAGGACACAGAGAGCAGAAATAACAAAAATAATCCTCCACGCACAGATGTTAACATGACTGACGCAGTTTGACGTGGAAGAAGTGGATATGGGTTATCCGTTGTAAAGAGAAAAAACAGAGCCAGACCCACACCGAATGCCATTGCTATGATGATAGCAACTAAAACTCGTTTTGTCGTGAGCACTTGCTGTCTGTAGGAAATTTTTCTCAATGCGTCATTTCTATCGATGCTAAGGAGAAAGAATGAGGTCGTATATCCCCAAAAGACACATGGACCAAGGGCTTGCTGTGTCAAAGACAGATTGTATAAGTGGTCATCAGGAACACGTACAATCATGGTACAAATGGCCAACGGAATCTCCACTGTGCTGCACAGCAGGTCTACTACTGCAAGGCTTGTTAGAATCAAACCGGTAGTCTTTCTCGTGAATATGTTGTTCAGTGTCAGGACTGTTATAACGATAGTGTTGCCCACAGTACCGACAATACTTAACACGGAGATGAAAACGCCCATGAACACCCTGATTTCGAAAGATATTTCCTGATTCGAAGAACCACTTTGCACTCCTTGAGTGGAAAAGTTTTCAGAGCCTGAATTATTAATTACCATTGTCTTGTTTTAGCAACTGTCCTACCAGGGTTAGACTCTGAAAGCAACGGAGTGTGAACCCACGCCTAGGAAAAAAGGGAAAATCAATATAATAATAATAATAACTAATAATATGTTCAAGGCGCTTTACAGTCATGTAAACAACATTATTGAAAAATATTTACAAATTTACAACCATATCCTATTATATTTACAATGAGTAAAAAAGGAAAAAATTAAAACTAAAGTAACTATTAAACCATTTTATTCATAATGATAAAAAAAGGGAAAAATTAAAACTAACGCAATATATACAAATCTATAATTCAGCATTAGGTTGTTCTTCTTGTATTGCAAACTGTATTCGCCGTCGGTTTCTGATTAGTCAGTTTGTTGCAACTGACGCTTTAGGCAAGAATACCCTTTCAGATAGGAGATGGTCTATCGGCAGTTGTCCGTTAACTTTCACAAAATGTGTTAGCGTTGCATTTTAAATTTGACCAGCTATTTGTGCAGCGAGTTCTACGGTCACGATTGACTTCAAACATGCAGATATAAACTAGGGTTTCGAAGTTATTGACATTTTTTGCAAAAATGCAGTTTTAAACATATGCCGATCTCTCAAACCTTTGTATACCTGCAAGACGATAACGAACATTTTCTTAAATTTCGACCATTCTTTATTAAGGATGCCAAAAATCATAGAAATCGGTTAAATCTTTCCTGCCGTAAAACGCGATTCAAAAACATAACCAACTCGCATATAAATAGGTTCGGGCTACCTTAAGCACATTTTTAGAAACTAGGCTATCAGGTTATTTAAGCATTGTTTCTCTAATCACTGCTCATTTAGTGCAGCCCTATACATGACCTACGTATGATACGAAATGCTCACAGCAATCACTTTTTTCGAGATTATGGAGTTTTCAGTTGGATTTTCTGAAGTTTACTTCTGCTCGTGAAAAGACTTGAGCATCGTTGTCTCCTAGTTTTGCCGCCTCTCATTTCCATTCTCGTCCACTAACTATGATCTAATAGACCGTCGACACCCTTGAACAGTTTATAAGATACGGTCTTTCATTAATTCTTTAGTAGGTTTTACTGGCAGAATCGTTTCGTGTTGAGTGCGAGCTTGGTTGATGCGGTCACGGTTAACATAACAGTGCGAACCCTAACATGAGAATTATAAAATGCAATTTTAAGGTAAAATGTCCCCCAGAAGGCGAATTTAAAATTACTTAATTTTGCATTCAAAAGCTTGCAGTTTGTTTGGCCAAACCACTAACCCTTTTGTTATGTAATAGCAAAACACCGTTTGTTTTACTCTTAAAACGTTATTGACTGGGTTCGGAATGACATCCTCCTCCACAATGATGCCCTCAAGTTATTAGAACGTTTCTGAATGGACTCTTACGTTTTCTTGACTGGTAGAATCATGTCCTAACAAAACAAAGCTACAATCATGTCCTTACGGCAATGCAAAATTGTGTTTATGACCGCTTTGTTCTTCAGTATTCAGACAAACTTACCAGTAGGTTTGCTTTCCTTTGGTAAAGTAAGAACTGTATCAAAAATAATTATTGGCATTTGGTCGCACCTTAAATTGGTCAAGTTCTAGCGAATTCAAAACAGAGTTCAAACTCCACCTTACCTTGGTAGCTAAGCTGCTTTTGTATATTTTGTTCTTGTTTGACAACTTACACATACTTCAAAAAACAAAAATAATTAAAAGAGCAGGATGCGCAGTTCTTTATATAATAGGTTCATTGTAAAGTCAAATTAAGTCCGGTCATTATATTTTTAGGCGTGTGCGACTTGCGGTACTCTCAATAAAGATTGTCATATTTTATAGCTTGGTTGATGAGGTCTCGTTCACCGTTCTGTAAATTATTTTCTGTAACTTTCTTGAAAGTACATAATAATTTTGGTAAATATAATTGTAATTTAAAGATCGTAGTAACTAAGTATTTTATGGAAGCGCAGTATACTCAGTAGTAAGTTCGCTTTGTTTTGCCCTCTAAATGTTTCCGCTTTCGGTGTTGCACTAAACCTATTACCTACAGCAATGATCACTGTGTTTAATTGCTGTGTAATTGTTATTTTAATGTTATTGTTTACAAAACCGTCTTCCAGAAATCGTTTATAAACTTCATTAAAACCGGTACTTTAGTAAGCATGTATGAGAGACAATATGTAGTTGTTTTTCACCAATGGAAATGTTATCGACAAGGTTCGGTTAGCTTTCTAATAGTGGAGTGTTTTTCAAAATGATGAAAGTGCGTGACGATTATTAGGTCCAATAAGCACGGTTTAGATGATGGTTTAATTAAATTCCTCCATTATTTAAATAATAAGCCGGCATTGAAAATTGGTTTTAAATTTCTAATTCTGTATAAAGAGAAATATAGAAGAATAGAAATAACTGCATAACGATGGCCCAGCATAGTTGGATTGCTATTGTGACTGAATTGTGTTTCGAGAGCAACATAGAAATTTTTTGGGCTGCAAAGCCTGTTAATACTCTTTTATTGACTATGACGTTTAAAACGGTTGAAAGGTCTTGTAAATTACTGGGATTGAAGAAATCGTGGAATTTTGAACACTTAAATAATGGATTTATTGTTTTTTGTACGATGTTGTCACCACGTTTCTCCTGGTTACTATGTTTCCTCTTCAGGCAACGAGGTCTCCCTTTTGTATCACAATGGTGTGCTGTGATTGGTTCATTTCGATCCTCGCTGCTCTTCGAGCGCGGCGGCAAAGTTGTTCTCAAGGGAGTCCGCTGATATAAAAGATCATTCTCTTTTCCCTGTCGTGTTTTCTTATCGTCGCAATCCACGCATATGGAATTCAATTCTACTCTTCAGTCTAAATCGATTCATCAATGTCTGATATCCATTTGCAGTGAATTGTCCCTTGCGTTTTCGCTTTTTTGTTTTGGTTCTAAAGGCCAAAACAATACAAAGCAAAAATCTATTTTGTGAACTCCGCTGACCACCATGTAAGGTGATCGTTTTGTAAGTTGTCGAGTATCTGTGTGGAGTGGACACATCTAAGAGCGGACTATTTACAGCAATGGAAGCAGTCTGTTTTCTTAGCTCATAAACCACAGTTTCAGAATTATTACTATTATTTTGATACTGTTATTATCGCTTTTCGTTCAATGAAAAAATTTGAAGAAATGAGGTTTTTGAAACACTGAATAAATATTTTCCTTCGACAGTTACTTTTAAAAACTGCTGTCTGATACAATAGAAATGGCCAACGTTTGATATATTAAAATTTTAACATTACTCCGAGGCTTGAGAGGCAAAATTGAAAATTTTCACGACTCCGTTGTCTCAGCTAGATATATGTGTCATAAAATAGATAACGAGGCTGGCCTACCAGATTCAAGTAGACTAACCACACACAAGAGGCTCACGTTTATTTGAAAAACGTCTGGCTTCCGCTATGGCTGAAAACGACAGTTTGACAAACGACATTAATTATGAACATGCATGGATAGCCACAAAACACAAATTTTTCGTATCAGTTCAGTTGCTAAGAACACTTGAGTACAGAAAAATGTTGAAATGGATACGAAATCTCCTGTATCAGACCTCTCGCCCTCAGTGGATAACTTCTAAACTTGCTCTTCATTAATCGCTTGTACGGTCATTAAGATATACATAACATATTAAGATTATACATATAAGTGCCCCAGGGAAAGTTAACGGGGTACATACGCTTGCGCCTACGAATTGCGGTGCTTGTAGTGGAAATGCGCTTGAGTACACCCTGCAATCCAATCATTTGACTTTGAAACAGATAATACAAGTATAAAATAACAGGATTGTTAGGAAAAGGTCTAAAAACTCCAGGGTCCGACGCGCTAGTGATTCCTCGCTCACGCTGTATAGTATTTATAAAGGCAAAGCTAGGTTAATTTGTAAAAGAAAATTATTACATTTCAGGCCAAAAAAGGTGAACTTAAGGCCGGTTTCTTAACACCTATAGCACTAGAATCATTTTGCCTTGTTAGAAGTATTCGTACTTACCTAAATTGCAGAGAGAGAAAATGGAGAGAAAAGAACTTAGAAACTTCCCAATGACTCGTTTAGAATAAATTATTGTGTTTAAATGAAAGTAACATGAATAGCCAAGCCTAATCTTTTGGTTTATTCAACCAATCAAATAGTCTTTCTAGGATTGAGTTTCCGTTTTCCGTGTTAAATGATGAGCAAATGAAAAATTAAAAAACACAAAAACAAAAAAACCAGATGTTTTGAAGAAAAAAAAAACAGCTGTTTTGAAGAAAAAAACTGAAACAAGCATAATCGATATCTTAATACACACATGTTTTTTTATATAAGAACGTTGTTTTTTCCGGCCCAGGCTGAATATTCTTATTTTTCTACCGATTTTAGGCTGAAGATATTGTTGTCGTATTCTTAAATTATAACTTCTGACATTTCCGTTTTAGAATGTATTAGGGGTATCTAGAATAGTTAGTACAGGGTTTTTCGTCTTGTTGGCAAGTTTTGCTGTTAAGAGAATGGAATACGTTGAAAACATATAATTGTATTGTATTTACAGTTTTTGAACACACAAGTTTTTTTTCAAAACTTCAGACTAAGGTTTATTCTTCAAATATTCTTAAACCTTCGAAAATTTTAGCCTCGATATTCTAACAAATATATTCTTATAGTAAAAAAAGAGTGTATTAAACGCAACCATTTTTTGAACTAAGTCCTTAGTGCGGTATACTGTGCCTCCTTTTACTTGACTTGCTGGTTTTTAGAATCTCAAAGATGAAAGAAAAAATGACAACAAGGACAATTCTCATGGAATAAATTAAGGCGTCGTCCACGTGAATCTGGCCGGATATTTTTGAAACCGCATAGAAAAAAATGACTTTCGTTTTCCCGGGGCGTACTCCTGGG